CAAGCGGTGCAGCTTCGTAGCTTAGCAAAGTCGTACTAAAGCATTTTTGACAGATTGCTGAGCGCCGTGTAGCACATACAATCGGTTCGCGGTCAGTAAGGAGAACTCATACATGTCATACTGTCGATTTTTGAGAAAATGACAGCATTTTAATGTAAGGTTATAGTCCGAAAAATACGCTATACGAGTTTTGTAAGGTGGTTTGTTTCGGGGCAGGACACAGTTTCACACATTCTTCATTTTGCACTTTATGGCACACATCTCTTATCTCGTATAAAAATATATCGATATATTTAAAAACTCGATATATCGCCCAGTCCTAAAAAGAAGGTAGACATATTATTTCTGATAGGAGTGTGGGAGAGGGAGTCCTGCAGCGTCACACCGTGGATGCTGTGCTGAGAGCATCCAAACATACAGCCACGATCTCAGCCCAGCAAGCGCAATCAGACTCTTTATGAGGGAGGTGGAGTAGTCAGAGCTGAAGGGCAATAATAGGGAAGGTCTCGTCTCCTTTAGGTTTTAGGGAGATAGATGGGTCTGTATATTAACAACACTGCAGCTGTTGTACAGAAAGAACAGTAGACAGGACCCTGTAAAACTCACCACAATACATACAGGCCACGAGACGCAGACATGCAGAACGACACAGGAAGCACAGCGAGCTTGGATTTTCAAGTCCATCCATCCATCCATTCGCTTCTGCTCAAGTCATTATTTTTATTATTCAGACATCAAGGAAAAGTATCAGAGATTTTTGGACAAACTTACTGAAATTGATCTTAAGTGATCGAATGCACAGATGTGTGTTTGTGACTGACCTGCTCCCTGGGTGCCATTTATTTTTCAACCATTACCTGAAAATCTTAATTTATTCTCTCCATCACTCCTCCACCTCTCCTGTCTGCTACCCTGGGTGATTTGTCTTACACCAAGTGAGGAAAGAAGTAGGGCTGGGAGACATGGCCTAAAATTTACATCTCAATATTTTTTAGCTGGATGGCGATCAGAGATGGGCAGTAACGCGTTACTGTAATCCAATTACTTTTTTCAAGTGATGAGTAACGTAAGGGATTACTATTGCATGAATGGTAATTAGATTACCGCTACTTTCCCGTAGGAACGCTGCGTTACTGCGTTACTAAAACCGTGATTTTTGCGAGAATGTCTCATGATTGTTTCCTGCAGTCCCACAGAGTGGACACTGAG